CTTCATCATCATCTGCCTGAGTGACTACTGTCATTTTTATCCTGTTCCCCATTCCGTGCCCCTTAGTAACTCACATTCTACGCTGTCACCCAAACTATCCATCTTCCACATTAGCCTTTCTTCTCCTGGGCATCAGTGATTTCCCAGACCACATAGTTCTCTGTCTGGCAGCTGTCCCATACATTGCAGGGCATTTAGTAGTGTCTCTTCTTCCACCACCCCCAGATGCCAGTACCTTTACCAAATGATGAGAACAAAAATGTATTTAGATACTGCCAGATGTCCCGTGGAAGCCACTAGGGCACACTGATCTGATCTGTGTCTTGCAGAATGCATTCCAGTTGTCGAAACTCTTCCTAGGCTGGCCTTGCCCTCCTCCTGGATGGTAGTTCTGCTTCGGACATGACCCCGCTCTGGGAACGGCTGTTCTGTTTCTCACACGCATGATAGGCTGACTGTTCACACCTCTGTGCTTTTGCAAAATGTTCTTGCTTCTTCCCAGAATGCCCAAGTGCCTCCTCATTTTACCAGGAGCAGTTTGAGCGTCAGCTCTGTGGGAAAGCCGTCTTCCATGGCCCTCCCAAAGCTCCGTGGTTCTGTGTCTTACTCTTGAATTTGATTGCTGAGGTGTTTGAGTTCTCTTAGAATGAATTCACTCCTGCGTGTTAGTCAACACCTAGTCTAAGGCCTGGTGCAGACCTGGTTGAATGAATGCAGGCACTCAGAATGGTGAGGTGAGGTGGTGTGTCCAACAGTGTGGGAGAGATGAGGGCTTTGATAGAGTGCGTCTCCTTGGGGGCCTACTCATGAAAGTGGCCTCCAGGTGAGAGCTGACCTGACGCTATGGTCCCTAAATGGGACAGATCTCATGGGTAGGGATTCCCAGAAGGCAGGTTTCAGTGTAATAGAAGGCAAGATAGAAATATAACTTTATTTTTACAGCGTATGATGGTTGGCCTGATTACCTAGTAGGTGTAATTCAAGAATTAAGTTTATTTCAATAAAGCATGAACTGGCTGGACATGGTAGTGTGCATCTCTAACCCCAGCACTTAGGAAGCAGAGGCAGGCAGATCTCTGTGAGTTCGAGGCCAGTCAGGTCTACATATTGGGACAGCCAGGGCTACACAGAGAGACCCTGTCTCAAACAAACAAAACATGACACCTGCATCTATGAATCTCTTTGAGATTCACTGCTTTGGGGCTCAATGAAACTTCTGAGACTAGCCAGGACCGTGGGAGGAGCTGAGAACCACAAGCTCTCTGTGGGAAACTCAGTGGCCCCATGGCCTTTGCTGCCTCTGAGATGGAGGGACCATGGCAGGGAAGAAGATGAGGAGACCTAGAAGGAGACAGGTGGAAGGGCTTTGAAGGCTGTTCCGAGGGGAAACTGAGCCTTTGTTCTGTCCTCTGGCTTCTGGGGGACCATGATTGACAGTCAGTGAGATTGTTTTCCGTAGGTCTGAGGTGTGACTGAGGAACAATGTTACTATACACCATGGTGACAGTGTACAGAGGAGTGACCGCTGCTTTGCCAGAGTCATGGCCGTCATTTACAGAAAAGCTGAAACAGACACCAGAAAAGGTGCTGTGCAGATCAGCAGCAAGAGTGGTTATCACACTGTTTCCCTGGGAGGGGGCCTCCTCCTCCGGCAGTTAGGGCCTCAGGTTAGCCTGACCCCCAGTGTGGGGTTTCCTGGACAAATTTCAATTCTTTGGGTCCCTATACATGGGTCTGAGCCCTTCTTTTTCCTCCCCAGTCTTCTATCTTGAGGAATTCAGACATCAGACGTCTGGTCTGAACACTCCTGAACGCAGTGGTGCATTCATTATCATTCTGTGGGAGCGAGGCTACCCTACCCTGGCACACGGCTTTACACATCCTGCCTGTGGTAGAACAAAGTAGGTTGTTCTGTCGCCCACAGCCTCGCTACCCTCGGGCGCTCTCTGTCTTCTTCACTGTGCCGCTCTACCGGGGGATTCATGGGATGATAACGCCCTGTGGTAGGGTGCTGTGAGGGATTTTCTCCACAAAGCAGAAGCTGGATCCCGGAGTCCCAGTTGATCCATCCTTCTTTCCCCTTATTTTTACTTATTTATTTGTGTGTGTGTGTGTGTGTGTGTGTGTGTGTGTGTGTGTGTGTGTGTGAAAGAGAGCACACTAGAGAGAGAGTGTGTGTGTGTATGAGATTTCTGTGTGGGGGCGCTAGCGTACCCCGGCATGCATACGCAAGTCTGAGGACAACTTTTTGGGAGTCGGTTCTCTCCTTCCTTCCGCCTGGTTGAGGAAAGGCCTCTTCCGTCTCTGCTCTGCGGCAGCTCTAGGCTAGCTGGCCCGCGAACCCGCAGGTGACTCTGCTGTCTCCCAGTCCCCTCGTGAAGTAGGACCGCTGAGACGACAGGAGTGCTTGCGACTTTTTAAACGTGGGTTCCGTGGATCCGTCTCAGGCTGTGAGGCTTGTGCCGCAAGTACTTTTACCCCGAGCCACCTTAGAGGCCCCCCTGTACCCTTCTTAACCACAACAGGTCCACATGGGTCTGGGGGAGGGGGTCAGACTTCCCTTGAGCGCTTCAGCAAACCCGGCCCTTCTGGTTCTCCCCCACGGGATAGATAGAAAGTGTGCCCCGAGGCCACAGGGCCTCGGGGTGGTGAGTCAGGCTTTTCCTTTCAGCTGTAATATGTCCCACTTGTGGGGGCTGACTGGGCACCATGTTGCTTTCTCGTACTTGAGGGAGCACAAGTGTAAGAGGATGTAGGACACCCCAGGGTGGTCCCCCGCATGCCCTGGTCACTGTACATCAGCCACGTGCTATCAAGTGGGCTGGAAACTTGGCACCCTCTCCCCATACCAGCATCCTACCGCTGGCTCTCCTCATGCTTCTTACCCCTTCCAGTGCTTCTGGCGGCCCCCCACTGCCTGCAAGGCCCCCCACTCCTCCGGGAGACAGTCCAGGCTTCCTCGACTCCATCACAGATCTGGGCTTCAAACGTGACGTTTGGCCAAGTGCCTTCCTTGCTCTGCCTTAATGGTTTCCCTCACCCATTCCACTGAGTCTCAGCACCATGTCTGCAAATCCTTCTACCCTTACCCCAGGACTGCTCTGTCCTCATACTCTGCCCACCTCACTCCCCCCATCTGGTCACAGTTCTTCCTCCACACAGCCTGTCTAAATAGCGCGGTGTTTTTACCTGTCAAAGTCATGCCTGTCAGAGCAATGAGTCCCATGGAGATATGAACAGCACAGAAGCCATCAATTTGGGTCCCCGCTCTGCCCCTTGGTGTGTGACCTCTGGGGAGTCAGCACTGGCCTGGGTCTTGGGTTGGCATTAATTGCTTCATTTACAGTATAGAGAGCCATTGATGGGCCCATAGTTCTCCCCCACCCCTCCCCATGGGAGGCGACATTTGGCACCGTCTAAGGGACATTTTGTTGTTGTTGTTGTTGTTGTTAACACTACACAAGTGATGTCACTGGCTTTTAGAGGGTAAGGGCCAGAGTTGCTCTTTGGCATCCTATCCTGCAAAGCCCTGGGCAGCTCCACAGAAAAACATCACCCGGCCCTGAATGTCACCACGGTCTGGCTGAAAAACAAGGTGTGGCAGAAGCAATATAGGAACGCAGCACAAGTCCCTCGGGACACCCACCTTACAGCTGCGCTGCTTAAATGGCCACCCTTAGATGTCCCCACTGTTGACCACCCTCAGCACAGAGCCCGGCACAGTGACTGTGTGTGGGGACTGGAGGAAGGAAACAAGACGAGGGGACTATTCTTATTATTCAAGGTCCGCGGGCAGGAAGTCGACGTCCCTGGGGTCAAGACACGGAGGCTCCGAGGTTGGGGGTGAGAAGGAAGAAGGTGCTCTCCTGTGGAATATCGGTGGGAAAGGAGGCTGAGGTTGGGGAGCTGGGGCTGGGGGTGTGGTGGCAGCGCTCTCCGGCTCCTCGTTTAATAGTCAGGGCACTTTTGTTTCTGGCTGTGATTCATGGTGCCACGGTCGAGGCGTGATTCAGGCTGTAAGGCTTGACCACCCAAATCACTGCTTCAGTAATAACACCGCCCTTTTATGTCCGCCTTTCATGGCAGCTCTCAAAGCGCCCTGCAAACATTAATTAAGGCTCTTGGCCTTCCACCAGGGGCTGGGTGCAAACATCACTCTCGCCGCTTGGTGGAGAAGGGAAACTGAGCCAGGGCCCCTGCCTGCAGTCTGTCGGTGGCTCCTGCTCTGTTTGAGGGCCGCTCATGGAAAAGAAGCTGAAATCTGGCCGCCCCCTCCCTAATTGTGACTCCTCTGTCATCTCCCCAGGTTCTCTCTCTCTCTCTCTCTCTCTCTCTCTCTCTCTCTCTCTCTCTCTCTCTCACACACACACACACACACACACACACACACACACACACACACACACACCTTGAATAGAAATAGTATCTTGGCTCCCTACTGGGGTAGGAGCAGGTAGGGGCACGCTCGCTCAGGCTGTGGCGCAGGGGTGAACCGTGTAGAGAAGCCCTCCTTCTCAGTGACCACCTCCATGGCTGTCACAGCCCAGGGCCATGGCCATGGCGTACAAGCCCCTCTGGGGCAGCAGCCTAGGAGCAGAAGGTGGCCTCAGAGGGACATGAAATGCTGCTTTTGAGGAGAGACGTGGCAGAAGAAATCATATTCTTCCTTGGAACTTAAAGGAAATGCCTTTTCTAAAATGTTAGCAGTGGCTGAGTTGGGTGAAGTATCTGAGTATTCCTTATCATTGTTCCCACATGTTTTCTGTAAGATGGGAGCTATTTCTATATAAAAAGTTAGAAATAGAGGGAAGGGAAGGGAGAGGGAGGGGAGGAGGAAGAGGAGAGTGGACTACTCAAAGGCCATAGAAACAGGACTTTGAGCATCCCTGGGCTGGTGCCGAAGGCAAGCGCATGGTCTCAGCCCCTCAGAGACTCCCCGTCCAGCACCGCAGTGGACACAGAACACGAGTCCCAAGACGATGGGGAAGAGCGGGGGAGGGAGGCCAGGGGCGGGAGAAGAAGCTTATTTTCAAGTTCAGTCGAAGAACACCCCTTGAGCTTGAACGCAGTTCCGTGATGATGCGCCCAGAGTCGGGCTGCCCCGCCCCGCAGGCCGACACTGCCCCCTGCGGTGACTCACGAGGGGATGTTTAAATGACAGGGAGGACCCAGAAGTCCCTCACTCATGCTGCAGCCTTGAGCCCGCCGGGTCCTCCTCCTCTCCTCACCGGCTCCCTCTTGTTGACCCGGCAGCCGCGTGGAGCTGCTGGTAAGTGGGTGCCCGTCCTTCCCTCCCGGCTGCTCCCCACCTCCCGGCTGACCATAGGATCCCGGGAGAGACTCCAGAAGGGGCAGGGCTGGCGCGTGCCTGGGACGCTCCGCTCCGAGGACCTGGACAGGTACAGCCTGCCGCAGGCTCTGGGCGAGCCCGCCCCCAACGCCCCTGTCCCAGGATCTAGCTGTATATTTTGACTCCCTGATTGCTTCCCTTGTCTTGACAGTCTGTGGAGTCAGTTTGGGGTGCAGCAGGGAGAGCTTTTTGACCTGCAGGGAGTTTGTTGAAAGTTGACTAAAGCACCGGTTTACCTCCTCCAGGATATCAGATTCACAAGGACAGGAGTTTCTCCTAGGTTCCAGCTGTTGGAACCTGTATAATTTCTTTTGCACCTACTGAGGTGGTGGCTTACAGGTGCCCTTGCACATCTGTCCAGGATGGTGAACTTTGCCTCACAGGGTTTCTGCCTGAGAGAAATCAGCTCTCTCACTGTCAAAGATTGACGGTGTTACCCGCGGGACTCCGAGCAGATGTGCAGTCTCTATTTAGGAGTGCCAGTTTGGAATCCAGCTGTGGGCTTAGATGTCCAGGTTCTCGCTCTGTGTGTGGCTTAGATGATCCCATTCTGGTCACCTAAAAGTGTCATAGGGCCTAGGTCAGGGGAGCTGATGAGTTTGAGAAGGAGTAGCTGGAGGTAGGTTTGTGATGAGAATCAGGTGCCGTGTGTGTGTGTGTGTGTGTGTGTGTGTGTGTGTGTGTGTGTGTGTGTGTGTGTGTGTTGGTGCTGAGGATCAAGCTCAGGACCTCAAGCATGCTGAGCAAGCACTCTGCTCTAGCCATGGCTGACTGTGTGGGTCCTAATCCTTACCTGTGTCTCTGCCCACGAGCACAGGAACCAACTGTGGAAAAGCAGAGCCTTCTGGACCTTTCAGCCTTTAGGGCTGAATGCGCTACTGCAGGGCAGACTGTGACTCCCGTGATGACACATGTACCCCAGGTGCTGAGTGCTGCCTGCCACACGCTGGCATCTCTTCCAGGGTGTCTAGCTGGCATTACCTATAGAAGGCAGCTCCCAGATGTGTGGGGGCCCCTGCTCTGGGACTTGGACATTCCCTTACGGGGTCTTCTTTCTTTCTGCATCGCCTGAACATCTGGAGTAAATTCGGGGCCAGACAGTCCAATTTTCCTGTGGTCATGAGTCAGCTGTTGGTCTCAGCAGCGACAGTGGCAGGGAAGGCATGTGAGAGGGTCGTGGCCAGGAAGAGTTCTGAGGAGACCCCACAGCAAGTATAGGAAGGGTCTTCCCAAGGCTGCCGGGGGGGACTGCCCAGATTAGCTCTGTAAAGGGAGGGACGTGAGGCATGAGTGGAAATAGATCCAGATGTGCAGAAATGAGAGAGATGGGAAAGACGGTGCCCAGACTTTGTCCTGCCAGCAAACACACGAGAGCTGTGATTACAGATGACAATTTGCTTCCCTGACTCCCGACCACAGTAGAGCCACTGAAGCTGCCCGCTCCAGTGCCTGCCTTGGCTGTGGGACACAAGGGCAGAAGTTGCTTCTGAGATGTTCTGATCAGAGACCACACCGTTTCCCTCTGCTTCAGATCTAAGGGGCTATGCTGGGAAGGAGCATCTTTGTACTCTGTGTCTTCTTATAGAAGGACCCTACTCCCCGACTCTCGCCATTGTGCTGGGCAGTGTGTGCTCTTCCAGCTCTTGCTTAGCGAATTACAGTCCTGCTCTGGCCTCTGCAGGAAGCCAGTCTAGGCCGGCCCCAGGCTTGGGAGGGTCTCCACAGAGCGCCTGGGGAGGAACTGCTTTTTCTTATTCATTCTCTTTTTTAAAAAAACCAAACGAAAACAATGAACAATATTTTGGCTTTGAAGGGCCCTAGAGGATGAGGTTGGGACAGCCTTGCTGTGGAATTCAAGGGTCTTTGTGTCTGGGGTAGAGTGCTGCGGGCCGCAGGAATATATCATAAGAACTCAGCTGGTTATGGCAAAGTCACTACCTGGAGGAATCAGGGAATTCCTCCAGAGGAAGCCAAATCCCAAGGAGTTTTTGGTGTTACTTGGCTTGTTATATATCAGCTGTCTTCTGTTATGAAAATCATGTGTGCCTTCATAGTTTTCCCAATTGACTTTTCCCTAAGAACGGCTAACAATGTGGACTGATCACTCTCTAGACATACACATTCCAGGCATTTGGAGAACAGCCTCAGGAAAGGCTTTCTCTGGAATCAGATATCTCCCCTAGCCACTTTCAAGGACTAAAGGAGACACCACCCAGGTGGTTGCCCAATTTCTGAGGACTAACAGTGATAACCACCCACAGGCGAGTCTCCTGACTTAAGGTAAATTCCACAAGGAGACACCGCCCAGGTGGTCGCCCAATTTCCGAGGACTAACAGTGATAACAGCCCACATACAAGTCTCCTGACTTAAGGTAAATTCCACAAGGAGACACTGCCTAGGTCAGGTGGAAGTTAAGTAATAACTTTACACAATTTAGCTCGGACCCTCCTTTTATATACCGAGACTTCCAGGGCAGAGGGCGGAGAAGAGAAAAGAGAATGGAAGAACTAGACGGGTAAGAACTTGAGAGGAACAAACTGAGATGGGGAAGAACTAGATTGAAGGGCTAGAAGAGAGTACTAGAGGAATGAGATGGAAGATGAGGATGAGCCAGATGGGGAACAACAAGATGAGGAAGAACGAGATGAGGAGAGAGAAGGAGATGGGAGAAAAGATGATATGGGAAGGAACAAGATGGATGAGACCCTAGAAGGGGCAGAACAAGATGAAGGAATTAAGATAGAACCCAGAGGGGACCGCGGACAAGTGTAGAGAGAAATCAGGCAAGAAAAGACCTAAATATGAGCGCAGAATATAAGCTTGTAACTGACACAGAATAATAAAGTGTATGGACTAAGGAGTTTCGTGTACATAGATTCATTTCTTCTCATCAAAGATTAATTATCAGCTGGTTGTAGATTCTTCCCGGACCCTGGGAGGGGACTATCGAGGGGCTGGACCCCCTTAGTCCCCGATAGTAGAGTATTCCTAAATCATGGGCTGTGTGTGCTGATTACCAGGCTCAACCCTTCCGGTGCCCCCCTTCTGAACCTTCTCTCCCCTCTTCCGTTAACCCTTAACAACACATCATCAGTGCAGCCTTAGAGTAGAAAGTCACTTGCGGAATGAGTTGGGGGAGGACTTGGGTGTGGCTAATAATGCTGGATGGTGGAGGGTGGTTGTATTTGGGCCAATCAGGTTACGGGGAGGAGCAAGGCGTCTCCTCCCTCTCCCCCACACTGCCCGAGGTGGGAGCCCACACAGACTATAGGCCCTGTGGTAGCCTCATGATGAGGTCCATGGGTTCACCAGGCTCTGTGTTGAGTCTTCAGTTGCCTGTGTGACCTTGGGTGAGTCCCTTCCTCTCTATGGACCCATCAATTTCTCATCTATGAGGCAGCCAAATGGTCTGACCAGATGACTTCAAAAGACTCTTGTACCAGTGGTGTCCTGGATTCCATGACCTATATTTGGAAACAGCTGCTAGGCACAACCAGTACAAGCCGGAGACTCCAGGTGGGGAGGCAAACCAGGAGCTGTGCCCAGCTGGTGGAAGAGTATTCAGTCTCCCCCATTCCCAGTCTTCCTCTGTTCTTGGTGGCTGAATGACACAAGCTGTGAGTGTGGGTTCTCAGGTAGTCTAGACCACGTTCTAGGTACTCATGAGTGTGGCCTGTGTGCACAGGAATGGGAGTTCATGTGTGTGAGTCTAGGCCTCAGCCCAACCTAGAGCCTCCAGAGACCCGGTTTTGCTCAACAACAAGCTAGCAATAACTGCCCCTCACTTTTATTGGGAACCCGTTTTGTTCCCAGAACCATTCTTAGTGTCTGGTCCATATTAGGTCACTTCACAGTCACAGTAGTGATGCTAGGAGATCAGATCAGATGTGTGTGTGTGTGTGTGTGTGAGAGAGAGAGAGAGAGAGACAGAGACAGAGACAGACAGAGAGACAGAGAGAGAGACCCTGAGGACTGAAGCTCTGTGTGTGTGTGAGAGAGACAGAGAGAGACAGAGACAGAGAGACAGACAGACAGAGAGAGAGACCCTGAGGACTGAAGCTCTGTGTGTGTGTGTGTGTGTGTGTGAGAGAGAGAGAGAGAGAGAGAGAGAGAGACAGAGAGACAGAGACAGAGACAGAGAGAGACAGAGAGAGAGAGACAGAGAGACAGAGACCCTGAGGACTGAAGCTGTGTGTGTGTGCATGTGAGAGAGAGAGAGACAGAGAGAGAGACAGAGAGACAGAGACCCTGAGGACTGAAGCTGTGTGTTTGTGCATGTGAGAGAGAGAGAGAGAGAGAGAGAGAGAGAGAGAGAGAGAGAGAGAGAGAGAGAGAGAGAGACCCTGAGGACTGAGCTCCACCCAGGTCCAGTCTCTCTGACAGACTGCACCAAAGAGCAGCCAGACTGAGGACACATTGGGTGGGAATGAGGGCAGGCCCAAGCCTGGCCTCTCTTTTGCGTGGCCTAGGGTCTGTCTCACTCCAGAAGAGGCCTTGGTTAGGAAGCCATCTTCTGGGAGTGTCACAGGCATGAAGGGAGATCCTCTTTGTGGACCTCAATCCCCTCAGATGCAGGGGAAGGGCAGAGAAGCCCTGGAGGGTCCTCTCAGGTCTTGGGCTGTGTGAACAGACAGGGACTAACTGGCAGGGTTGTCCTGCCGGGGAAACTTTGGAAACAGGCTTGAGGAAGCAGGGTTTTCAAGCCTTGGCATGTAAGTGGGGCCTAGCCAGGCGGCTCTTCGCGGGGAAGAGGGGATAGGAGCACGCTGTCTTCACTCCAGGCTCCTTTCTGCCTTCAGCAGAAACCACACTAGAGCTCCAAGAGTTTTGGAAACTTTTACAGAAGGGGATATGAGGCCTGCAGTGTTTACCTAAGCTCGGGTTGTTAGCGTCAAGACTACTGTAGAAGAGGGGTCCC